TATTCTTGAAATTATGGCTTTCCAAGGCCTTAAATTCCGTCATTTTTGATAGCTCTTAACTTCAGTGGGAGTAATAGAGCGACATGACTGTAGGATCTTGGCGCACTTGGACTAAGAGTCATGGAACCCCGAGTGAGTCATGAGGAGGATTTAAATGCATGAGAAGTACTGAGAGGGTTGAGAGTTACCTCTTAGTCAAGGTCGGTTACTATGTTTGTGCCTCATGATTGCGTGATGGGCTAGGACGATACAATTTTTGTATTTATATGATTATGTGATATGAGCTTGATGATGAGATAACCCTGTACGGGAAGGTTAGGCCCAATAGAGGGCATTGGCTTAAATCTTTGACTCATAGAACGTTCTCGTAGCATATGCATATACAGTCGCAATGCATGGGAAGTCGCTTTTTCAAGGATCCACCAGTAAGAGGTATGCCATATTCCAAGAGAGAAACCCCCTCAACATATGTGTACATGTCCTCTAGGTGTTCCACCTGAAATCCCGTTATACTTATGGATTCAGGGTCACTCATTGGTTTGACTTTGATAGGCTAAGATCATGAGCTCCTTATTATACACTGTTAGTTATGAGTCTATTGTGTCATATCGAGAAGGTGGCTTTGGATGTCGGGTCTAGCCAAGTGAAGTGTTCCAATTCATATTCAACTCTGAGGATCCTAATTTCCTTTGTAAATATTTTTAAACAATGTTAAAATGATTTATTTTGATAAAAAATCACTAAAATGATTTTTGTTGATTTTTTTGAGAATTTTTTTCGGATTTTTCTGAGCAAGAACATGCAGTTGCTGGAATTTTTTGGATCATATGACAATGAAAGACATTTCCGGGACCCACGCGGGACACCCAAATGTCCAATGGGTGCCCACGTGGATGCCTAGGGGGTCCCGCGTCACCCCATGTGGAGGATGACATGGGGGTTATGTCAGCCCCCCTTGGAGACCCCCGTGTCCTTTTGTACTTTGTTATATTAAGTGAGGGGCATTGTATTTTGGTATTTTGTGGAATATTGTGATTTTAGAAAAATGTCTTAAGCACATGCTAAATGTGAAAAACAAGGGGTTTGTGCAGATGTGTGAGGCTTCTAGAAGGGGCATAGGGTTTGTAATAACAAGCCTAACTCAAGGCGTATATGCTAATTGTGCAATTAACGACCTAGTTTATGTGGCATGATTTTATTAGCCCCACATGCTCTTATGAAATGGAGGGAACTTTCAAAATTTTCTTTTTGCTGGAATTTTGACAAATTACCACAAGGGTATGCCCTCCAACTTGGTTGAATTAAATGTAAAGAGCAATTTATGTAAAAATAAATAAAATAAATGTAAATAGCAGTAACAAGGGAAATTAGAGTGAATTAAAGGAGGATAAAGGTGTTTAAATCCATATTATACATCTTGATGGCATGATGGTGGATGGTGGGCTAGGATCAAAGTTCTCTTTATAGCCATTAGATGGTGATATGGAGGGCCAAGATTAATCAATTTAGAAGCATCTATACACTTAAAGTGACAAACCCCTAGGCATCTAAAGTGACAAACCCCTAGGCCTTCTCATCTTTCTTTCTCTCTCTTAAAAGTTAGATTGAAGGTGATGTGAGAGAAGGCTCCATTGAAGCTCCTTGATGACTCCTTTAATGGTGATCCAAAGCACAAATTCAAGCCATAGATGATCTAGTTTTATGACCTTCATCAATTGAGCAAGATCTCTTCAATTTTCCTTGATTCTAGTTGATTCTTCTTTCTGTAAATTCCTAATTACTACAAGCTATCTTCATCACTTTGATGTTAGATCATTGATCTTCTTAAATCTACCTAGATCATTTTTATCCATGTAGTTGAAGGCATCATCCATGCACAAATTGATTTAGTTTTCATGATCATTTACCCATGAATTTTGGAATATTTTTTACTGATATTTTTTTGAGATTTTCATGACAAAATCAGTCAATTAGATCTTCATTTTGGTGTATTTAATTGTTGTTTTCAAAAGAGGGGATTATGCTGAATTTATGTGGTTCGATTTGTGAACTCAATTGAACTGGTTTGGTGTTTTAAGAGCTTTGATTTCTCCTACGATTTTTCCATTTGATTGATCACTTGATTTCTGCAAATCCTTCCATGTTTTAAGTATATATTAGTAGATTCTAGGCTTTCCACTCATGAGATGTTGAATTTGCTCGAATTGTGTTATGCCATCACTTGTCACCCAATGGTACATAACGAAGACCCAATGCTGTAAATCGGGCACCTGAGAGCTCTAATGGGCTTCCCATGAACATGTTGCATTATACACATGAGCATATGTTTGTTGTTATATTGGAGTTCTTGTTATATTGAGTTTTATGAAGTCCATTGTTGTATAATTTTGCATTGTAATTTTTAGTGGTGCAGAATATTCAAAAGCACCTCATAAATGTGTAGTTTGATGTTCTCCTTAAGTAGTTTGGTTTGTTGATGTACAAGGGACCTAATTGTATCCTTTATTTTTTAATGTATTTTGAAGTTAAAAGTTCTTTGTAATCACAGTAACCTTACTGTAATTTCAAGTTGTAAGTTCAATGTCAAGTATAAAAAAGGGCCATAACCTGGTGCTGGTCCCTCGTACGCATGGTCCCCGAGAGGGGTGAGCTGGAAATGATCTTAACCTTTGGCTTTTTATGCACAAAGTGGCCACTCTCAAGACTCGAACCCGTGCTCTTGCGATGGCTACCTGAGCCTTTTACCGTCACATCAAGTGACATCCCCTTAAGTTCAATTTCAAGTATATTGAACTCCAAGTGACAGCCCCTAGTATCTTGAGTTTTGACATGGTTGTACTCCAAGTGTATGAGATTTGGTTTCTATATGCTCTCACATATGACAACCGCTTTACTGGGTACCATCCTTATAAAGGGACACGTGTATATGTGCATAGAAAGAGCCCCCCTGCACTATAGTATAGAGTAACAGGTGCTAGACTTACTTTTGGGAAAGAGGGGGGGGGGGAGGAATTGAAATCCACATTTACGAGATTAGGGTACCATTGTTTATTGGCCAACTTTGGCGAGCCAATCATGAGCCCATGCATAAGACTATGGGTCATGTGTCTTTGTTGGGTTGGTTTGAGAAGACAGTTGTGGATCGTGCCATTGTGGTTACTGGGTTGGGTGGAGTGTCCTTATAGTCCAGTCCAGTTCTAGATATTCTATTTTTGGTATTAGAAATGTTTCAATGAATTTTAAATTTTTTTCAGAACTTTTAACATTTATTTCTGCTGTAAAATCTTTGAAAAGGTTATTTTTGTAATTAAGTAAATAAGGAAGGGCACATGTGGGTACCTTTGATCCAGCCCCAACATGTGTGCCACTCCCTATGGGTGGGACGTGTGGCATATGGGGCCCAGTCATGGACCACAGGTGTGCCATGCCCCTCTTATTTCATGTGCCAAATCTAATTAAATGTTGTTTATTAGAAAATCTTTTAAAACAAAAGATTTTGTCAATTATTCTTGTGAGAGTTCGTTTTTACCAACTTAAAACTTTTGGTAAGAGATAATAGGAAGATCTAGATAATACTAGAGTGGTTATAATCATATTTCAATTGGAAGTTGTACTTGTGTCAAATTATAAGGGGATGAAGTTCTTAATTATCCTCATTAAATCATGATGGCTGATTTATGAAAGGGAAAAGTTTATATAGAGCCGAGGCTCCAAACAATCAAATTTGAGCCTACCTCAAAAGTTTCACTAAAAGAGGTTGTTTTGATGCCCAAATATCATCAAATTGATCATCTCGACATCAAGATGCATGGACATTAGAAAAAAATCGATTTCAAGTTTTGAAAATAGTTTATTTTGTAATGCACTTTTGGACGGTTAATTTTCAAGATTTTCAGGTTTTCATAGATATGTCGGTCTACACTATTTCTAAAGCTTTAAACTTTATAAATAAAGATGAAAATGTATTTTGAGGCTATCACAAAGATTCCCAATATTGAAACCACATTTCTCGATACTATTTGAAGGTAGGCTCTAATTTCATTGTTTAGAGCCCAGACTCTATACAAACTGCACCCTTTATGGAATGGATGACGCATATTTAAATAATTTCTCTCATCCAACAAAATTTCTAAGTTCCTATTGGTTAAGCTGTGTCCTTGGATAAGACATACCTATAAAAGAGGTGTTTCCTTCCAAAATTAAAATACATTTGAGTCTCTTTATATCTTCTATTCCTCTCTCTCCTCCATGCCCCGATATCTCTCTCTCTCAATTTTAGGTTAGGGTTTTGCTGTTTCTGAAGAAAAAGAAGGTACGCCCAGCCTAATAGAGTTAAATTTTTTAAATGTAGCCCTAATTTCATCCTAAAGGCTTCCTACAAATCCTAGTTAGATTTCCATGCTCTCTAAAACCCTAGAGTAAGAGGTATTGCCTATGGAAGCTTCCCATCGATGAAATTTGAGCGAGATCAGAAGGACAAATATGTGTGATTGGTCAGTAAATCAGTTGTGGGGTGTAACAAGTCCTATGAGGGTAACCTTAGGTATGATCAAATAAGTCTTCCCGGCTGTTTTTATTTATTTTTCAGTTATATTTGTATACTTTCTGTAATTGTTCAGGGACATATACAGTACTTAAATTTATAGTGGAAGATTGGATATTGTTCGTGGGTTGTGTTTATTTGCTTCAGCGGTAAAATGAAAGGTCCTTGGTTGTATTTAGGAATTTTTTTTTGATTACAGCACTGTATTGTTGCTCATGTAAGGGGAATTTATGTATATCAATAAAAGAAAAAGAATTTTTTTTTGAATTTATTACCTTGAGTTCCACATAGCCACACCTTTCATGAGACACATTTGTAATCATTGGGGAGCATGCTACATTGCTTGATTTATGCTTTCTTTGTAGATTTACTATAAGCGTTAACTATAATCTTTAAGCAGAAGCCATCATATGGGAGGCCATTCATCTTCGTTTCTGGATGTTTATGATTGCTGCAGGTTAAGACTGCTGATACGGGATACTTGTCACGGAGATTAATTAAATCCTTGGAGGACCTTTCAACGCATTATGATGATACAGTGCGTAATTCTAGTGGTACTATTATCCAGTTTTCTTATGGTGATGATGGTATGGATCCAGCAAAAATGGAAGGAAAGAGTGGTGTACCATTGAATTTGGACCGTTTATTCATGAAGATCAAGGTATCTTTTCATGTTCTGTACTTTGCTGCTTGAGTAAACTTTATCTAATGAGTTTCAATCTAACACTCCATGCTATTGGTTTGTAGGCTACATGCCCTGCAAGTGTTTCTGCTAGTTTGTCTCCTTCAGAAATTTCAACCATAGTGAATGACAGGTTATCAAAACATGATATGACCCCTGAAAGAGGTTGCTCTATGGCTTTCAAAGAGGAGTTGTCTAACTTCATTAAAAAACGCATGGATGCCATAAAGAAAACCAGGAACATGCTAGGACTGGATGAGGATTGTGTCGACAAAGAGAAATTTTCCGGTCTAGAACATGTAGCAGCAAACATATCTGGTATATCTCGTCAACAGCTGCGGGTATTCTTCGTGCTCTACTCCTTTATTCTACCCTTTATATGCTACAGTCATTAGCTTTATTGTCTTGTAGTCCATGTATAGCTATAGACGCATTAGCTGTGAAAAAATTAACTTTTGTCTTTTTTATGGTTGTTTTCTGGATTAATTTAAAATCTTAATTTTTTATATTATTCAGACTAAAAAACTCAAACTCCAAAACTATTGTGAAGTTGTGATCTTTCCCTTCAAGGCTTTAAATATTTACAGATTTCTAACTTCAAGATTATGTTTTGCTTGGTCAACTAGCTAGAGTTGTCGATTGATATTGGATTCACTTGATTTAATTCTAGAAAAGGATTATGTAATTGCATATAACAGGTTATAAGATTATGCAGATAAAATTTGTTCGCAGAAACTGAATTTGGAGATAATCATTTATGCCTGTGACTTAACTATTCTTCAAGCACATTCATGCACGAAAGACACTTAAATGTTAGCATATGGGAATGTCAAATTTTCGTCAACCTATGGGCACTAATATTAAGGGTGGTCACCAACATTTTCTTTTCTGTTTGGTAAAACATATAAAAAAAGTTGTCGGAGAAAACGAAGTGTGCATTTATTGAATGGATGCATTTACCGCAAAATTTATGTTTTTTTGTATTTCCAATAGAGTAGCGTATTTGTTTTTTACTTGCTACTCTTGTCCTTTAATTTTAGGTGTTCTTGGAAACATGTATATCTCGTTATCATTTGAAGAGAATTGAAGCTGGTACTGCAATTGGAGCTATAGGAGCACAAAGTATTGGAGAACCTGGGACACAGATGACATTGAAAACCTTCCACTTTGCTGGGGTTGCAAGCATGAGTATCCTTACTGAGTTAGCAGGAGTATTATTATTATTTTCTTCATAAGAAAACATATATACTGCTTTCTGCTTGTTGGATTCTTTTATGCACTGCTTTTTATGTATATAGTTGGGTCAATAAATGTTTCTTCCCCAACCTGAGGTTTGAAGATTGAACTATACATATTTTAAGAGCAATGAAAAACGGCACAAGTTTCAAGGCACAACTCACCTTAAACAAATTTTTCAAGGAAATTATCACTTTGAACAAATTTTCCATTTGAAATCATGTTACATAGAACTGCTGGATGCTTAATGACTAATGATTCACTTGTAAAATGAGTTTGTAAATATATGCATATTTTATATTTGAAATGAACTTGGTAGTGGATACAAGTTATTAGAAGTATTTGGTTAGCTTCTTTGACATGTACAAGTTATTAGATATATTTGGTTAGCTTCTTTGACATGTACCAGATATTACTCTTGGTGTTCCTCGAATCAAGGAAATATTAGGGGCATCAAAAAAAATCAGTACCCCAATCATTACTGCAACACTTGTCTGTGATAATGATGAAAAATCAGCGCGAATCGTGAAAGGTCGTATCGAGAAAACTCTTCTTGGTGAGGTATGAGTCATGCTTTGTCTGTCTGATCAAGGGAAGTTTTGGTTTGCTTGGTTAATTAAACTGGGGTTCCTTAGTTGCTTTTGTATTCCCTGAATCTCTTGTTCATTTTCTCCTAGGACAAATGCATCATTAGTTCTTGCTGTTGTGTGATATTCAATGTAACATGCAAGGTTATTATATTAATTTGATGAGTTAACCAAATTGTTCCAATATCAGCATTATGAGAACTTATGGCATTGTTATGGAAGTGGTAGCTATTATGAAAGCCTAATTGAATTGGAGACATACTTTGAAGAGATTGAAGAAATAAACCCTGCCTGGCTTGACGAAGAAAACTTTGTTAAATGTAATGAATTTTTTTCTCGAGTTTCATAATCATATCCACACTTGCCTTGGATAGTTTTGGAATAACATAGGTGACTGCAAATGATAAAACAATGCTAATGTACAATTCATTTTGTACAACATTGTTGTTAATATACATTTACAGTTGCCAATAGTTTCCCCTGTAGCACCCCTCCTCATTCCACTGTGGTGAAGTTCTAAGCATCAGTTTTTCATCAGCAAATGATATGGTGATTTGCCATGGTTTTAATTGGAACTTAGAAAGTGATATGGCAATGTGATCTGTCTAATCTTAATCAGCCTCCTAATGGAGGGCCAGGAATTTCAAACTTTCAATATGTTAGGTATGTATATGGACTTTTTAACTTACAAACAATCTGTTTGGCACTAGAGTTATCAATATGTAATGCCATTGGGGCTATAACTTCTGCACGGGGAAAAGGAGTCTGAAACTTGTCTTCCTACCAACAAAAGACATAGGTTGGTTCCTCCTCAGTTCTTGACATAGATATGTTACACTGCATCAAATGCTTCCAATTTCTGACTAATTGGTCCTTGAAAGGCCTATAAGTCTGGGGCGGACTGTCAGCTTTTAACATTTAGCCCAGGGGAGATGTATGCAAGGGGCTACATTAGAGGAGGTGTGCAATAGTTGATGCGGCATACGGGGAATGGGTTGTTGATCTAAGAAACTAGTACAGATGGGCTAAATATATGCCTTGTCCAGGAGAGTCGTGGAGTATACAATACTCATCAAATGGAGTGCCATCGTCTTTAGAGTAAAACTTTGGCTTCAAAGATGGTCTGTCAACCACCTTTGGATCTCTAAGGTGAGATAGCATAATAAGATTATTGGCCTACAGTTAGACCTGGCAAAGGGCTGGGTCAGAGTTGGCCCTGGTCCAGCCCAAGTACCATAGACGCCTGCCCTGAGCCTGGACTGGATCAAGGCCTTAGCGATTGTTTTTTTTTTTAGATTTGAATAAAATGCATTTAGATATATTTTTTATTTATAAAAATGCATTTAGATAGTTCATTGGATAGGATTTGAACCTTAGTAATGACAACTAGAATACACATACACTGACCATTAAAGCCCCACTAGTTGTATTCTATTTTACCTCTAAAATATGTAGCAAACATAGGGCATGTTTGGATGCACTCTTATCACTTATAATTCATAGAACAATAAAAATATTCATTGCAAATATTTATATGTTGCTTGGTAGTGTCTCTTACAAGTTTACTTGTTATGGACTTTTTGTTTGATTTTTTCTTTGGACCTAATCACTTTCACAAATATGCTTATTCAATGTGAGTTTAGAATTTTTGTTGGAGTTCTTTTTTTTGGTGAACCGAGGTCTTTCTCTCTCTCTCTCTC